TAACACGTATAACTTAGTAAATACATAACTTGCATTTAGAGACCACACAAGTATGATGTAATCATGGATAGATACGTTAAACTGAAAATACTTAGCATGTTTAGTGAAGATTAACTAATGACAAAAACATGGTAACTCTATAATCACTGACAAGTTCAAGAACTTCAGTTTAAAATATACATTCTTTGTGAATAGTATAATATATATATATATATATAGTATAAGTATATATAGTATAGTATAGTATATAAATAGTATACATGTTTGATTATTCAAACGGATATAGGCTAAATAGAGTTTGAGTCTATAAGTTAATATAAGACCCCAACAAAATCAAACCAACAGGAGATACAACCAAAATAAAGAAGTAAACAATGACAAGTTCATGGTTAACAATAACCAATCAAAAATCGAGGTCTATAGGACAAGTTGTAAGCTATATGTGAAGAAATTCGACTACTTCACTTCTACCTGATGTATGTTCTGATGATGTCATTCAGAAGAACGACAACATTCAAGAGTAATAGTAATGATGATAATACCTATTTATACCGGGAAACAGATTTGTACTAAGTCATATTATAAAGCGTACTAAAAGTGTATACTAATAAATATTATGAAATGGGATATAGTGATTAGAACAGGAGAAGTTTAAGAATAGAAGGACAAGAAGTCCGGGAATGGAATTGTTGATTAGTTCGACATACTATCAGTCAGTCAGCAACAACGTAGGACCAGTCATATATGTGCATCAGTCAAGTTGCCATACCTCATTAGCACAAAAGATGAACACCAAATTCATAGAAGTACTTAATTCAATGGTGGTAATATGTAAGAGAAAGATTGTGTATAAGGATATAGTACAGGAAGAAAGGATTAATTCGTAGAAAGAAAGATATAAAACACTTTTGATCTCATGGCTTGAGGGAGGATAAAGAGTGTATACACCGACGTCATTGTGATCGATTTTGAGCCATGTGACCCAGAGTCTCCAACCATTACTTATGATAGTCACGCGAACCTCAACCAGATAGTCTGCATCTACCAACATGGCTAAGACTAGAAATTAGTGACTTCAAGGATTGATGCCACGTTTTTAGTTAGTTGGACATACTGTTGACTACTAATTGTATTCTAATCAACAGGTGCATACTTTCTAGTTGTGATTTACATCAAGTTTAAAATCTTTGATTTAAGATGTTAAATAATATACCACAAAATTTCGGCCAGTATTACAGGCACATATACCCTTGTCTATCTTTTTGTATATATTCAACATTTATATCATTTCATACAAGCACTAATACAATTACATTCACTTGATATTGTTTTATGTGAATCATCTCACTGATGTTTCGTGCTGCAATTGATCAGTCTCTTGTTGGCATATTGTGTGTATTGCCTCAATGTTACCAATAAGACACTGATCAATTGCAATCTTAAACATCAATGGAATGAGTCAATTAGAATAACACCAAGTGAATTTCAACTTCACCCTTTTTACACAATCAAGTGTCTATCAGGATTTAGTAGCTAAGTGGATAACGCGATGGCGTATGAAGCCAAATAGCATTGGGTTCAACTCCCAGATTGAACAGCAACTCTTAGATGCAAATACATACAGCCGACGCGTCCTAAATAGGACGAAAAATACGTCCTGGATTCCATTACTAATCACTATTCATGTTTGTTACTATTATTCAAGCTTCGTTATTCATCACATTGTTAGTTTCCTGATGTAAATTGTAACGACGATCATATATTAGTATATTTCTATTAGGATCTACTGACTGACTGAATAACTAACTGATCATTCAATATCGAATTAAAGTTTACTTTATTCTTATTCAAATTAAACGAAGATAACATCTTAATGACCATAGAAATAAATCACTTTAATTCTAACAATTATTATAAATATTTACATATAACCACAACATTTACACATTCTAGGTCAAACTGCTCTCTCTCTCACACACACACACACATACTCTCTCTCTCTCTCTTATAATTATAATTACTGAGTTATCAAAGATTAAAATATTCAATCTTAAGTCTTAGTGATTATTCGGTTATGGTATCACGTATAACTGTGACCAAGGCTCACTGTTATTATTATTATTACTGGTGATGATAATGATAATGAGTCACCATATGATGCAGGTAGTATTGAAAGTTCAAAAAAAAAGGTATTAAAGAATAAATATTTATCAATATAGAGTTGTAGTGATTGGTAAAGTTTTTAATTAAGATCATGAAATCGATGAATGTTAGACAATCATGTTTCGTCCTAGTATTGAACTACTTCAACAATGTACATTCACTGAGTCTGTACTGAAGAACTTTGATTTAGATGAGAGAATGTTTAACCTCTAAACTACTGAATTGATGTTAATAATGTCTAAATTCAACTGATTCATGATTTTATACAATCATTCATCTATACCTGTCTCTATCGAATATGGATTAACTTCAATGGTTATGAATTTTCATTAGAATTTTGAGAATTATCTCTCATAATACCAATCACTCATGAGTATATACTGACGAGTCTCAAATTAGGACGAAACGGTCATTCAGTGATTGCAGGTTTTCAATGGTAGCCCAATACTCATCGATGTTTTTTTTGTTAAATTAGTTAGACCTGAAATGTTCATAACTAAAAAGTGTATTCGTTAAATGATATTAATAAGTATCATTAACTTCTTTTAAATTCATAGGCTCCTTTATTATCCTATAATCATACATATCGTGGATATGCACTGTTGAGGAGTCCCACATTAAGACGAAACAGCCATCCAGTGTTTCCAGGTTTCCAACGGTGATTTAACATCAATCGGTTCATGATCTCAATCAACAAATTATTAATCTCCATAATCTCTATACTGATATCTACATATAAGAACACTGATTATTGATTTCAGACAGTATCTGTGGATCAGGTAGTTTATTTTTTATACAATTTTCGAATAAGTCATAATTCATTTTATAGATCTAGATCATTCTGTGATGGTTAATGTTTATTTGAACTGATCTGTAATTATAATGGATAGGATTGAAATAAGGTTTCAGAGTCTATAGAGAAATACACAATAGTTTACTTGGACTTGTTCAAATACCAAATAAAACCTAATCGGAATTGTAGTTTAATTAATAAAACTAAAGTGATAAACTATAAAATCTACTCTAATCATGACTATATAGATGACAGAATTAGTGGAAGTAATCTTCTTCATGGATCAACATCAATCAAAGAGCTAGTAAAGATTAAATACGTTTAATTTGTTTGTTATCAGATTGTTGAAGGGAAGTCAAAACTAATAATTATATGGTATGGTTTTTTTCCATTGAAAGGTTTGACGAAACTAAATCAGAGTGATTTTGAATAAACACATCAGATTCATTAAGATTATAGCTATATGTATTGTTGATAAAGGTCAATCAATAGAGTTTCCTAATCATTATGTCTAACCGTTTAATATCTCTTGAAGTAAACTACAACATATATTGTAATTCAGTTTTCTTCTATGGAACCATGTAACCAATTAGTTTCGATGAAACATCAGCATGAAAATGAATTTGTAAAACTGAAATCCATTGCACAATCAATCAGCCAGCTACAGAGTAGGATCAGGCACATATGTGCATCAGTCCAAGTTGCCATACTTCATTACCACAACAAGATATAAACACCGAATTCATAGAAGTACTTAATTCAATGGTGGTAATATATATAAAAAAAAGATTGCATATAAGGATATAGTACAGGAAGAAAGGATTAATTCGTAGAAAGAAAGATATGGAGCGATTTTAATCTCATTGTTTAAGGGAAGACAATGAGTGTATACACCTACGTCATTGTGGTCGATTCTGAGCCATGTCACAACACAACATAAACCATAGAATATCAACTGATTATTTATTATTTTAATAAGACAATTCATGTTTAACTTCTCGAAAAGATAAAATCCAAGAAACGCATCGCAAATATATCACCATCTTAAATCAATGAATGAAATTCATCCGTAGAAAAAAAAAACAATCAGGAGCTCTAACAATAACTCTTCACTTATAAGTAAAGTTAATTATGTAGACATTAATTGTCATGGCAACTAGATGAGGGGTGGTGGTGGAGAAGTAATATTTTACACATATATTTCCCTTTATCATTTTGAAAAGAGCAAAAATAAAGATACTAACAAAAATAGCATGAATTCATTTTATTTCGTTGGTTCTCGTCAACTGTTGACAATATGAAAGTATTTAGTCGGAAGTTATATCGAAGACATATTACACAATTGTCATACTAATAGGTTTTCAACATAAATTCTAACTAAACACTTTTATGTTCTAAGCAACTGACAAGAATCAACGAAATAAAATGAATCTTTATTCTTACTCTTTTCAAGAAGAATTAACATTGAAAAAAAGCGTCCAAATGGGACAGATTATATAATACTGTAAAATATACGAGTTATACTTTATTTTATTTTATTATTTTATTTAAACACATAAATATTGGTACAAGATGGCACCAAATATATATATATACGCCACACAAAAGCCATTTTCACTTTATTTGTGTGTGGGCTATGATACTGCCCAAGTGCCCAAACCGAAACAGATGGTTTTCTTAGGGGGCCACACCCCGATCCTTCGACCTGAAGGTCTGATCCACAAGGCAGTGGAGCATCGTAAGAAGATGCAGTTCCATGGTAGCCGGTGACCAACGATTGGTTCATACGCCATTTGTTCCCTCAGGATACTGGAGCCCATGTGCACCATTGGTTTGAAATCTGGTTAAAGCGCCGGACATTCGCTTTTCGTCCTCTCATTTCCGTAAACAACACCCGTGGTGCAAGAAGGTAGTGAGTAGGACTTCCCTGGCAGAGGCTATATACGCGTGGCCGTGTGAGAGCATTTCGAGAGTTATACATATTACTATCATACCACATTATATACATATATCAGTAATACAATTGATCACATAAACAACTAACCATTTAAAGTGATTTTTTGTCCTGGTGCATATTTTATTGCCATAGCAATTAATGCAATATAAGAATATGGTGGTTTCGATGGGAATAAACATGAACTATTATTATTATTATGATTATTAACTTGTAAATTTCTCATTATACGATTCATATTCCCTTCAATTGATTGTGATTCTATATTCAATACTGAATTATTATTATTATTATTATTATTATGAATAGGTTCATTATTAGTAGTTATATGATAAACATCTTTATTATCATTATAATTATATTCATAATGATTCAATGTACATAGATTAGACCAATCTTGATCATTATTAATAGTATTAATATTTATTGAATTATGATTCATTAATTGATCATATATCATTGATAAATTATCATTTGATGTAGATAATTTAATATAATTTAATAAAGTTTTTATAATAATTAATTTATATTGTTCATTGAATATATTCCAATTAGATATAATAAATTGAATAAAATCAATATTATTTTTAGAATAATTTTGTTTTATATAATAATTTATAAGATGATGTAATAATTCTAATGATAATTCATTTGATAATAAATGATTATTATTATTAACATGTTCAGTTATTGATTTATGATTAATATTGATATTTTTAATAGAATTTTCTTCATTCATAATTGTTTATTGATTATTAATAATGATAATAATCAATAATAATAATGATTTTTATGTATATTATAATGTAATCAATGATGTTCCAGTTGACTTTTAATTAGATATATCATTTATATATAATAAAAAAATTGTTGACATATATATACATGTTCTTTTATATTTAAATCAAATGATATATACCGCGAAAAATTTCTTTTTCATTTTTCATTAGCCAATCAGATTAGAAAAAGAATTATTTATTATGAATTGACCAATAGGATTTTCGTATGTAATAAAAAAAATCTGACCAATCAGAATGATGATACATAGAAATAGATATGAGAAATGATCTTGATAATAAACCAATGAGATTAGAGGATTGTTTTTTGTGTTTTTTTATTATGGAGATTGGTAGTGATTATGAAGAGTTGAATTCATGGAGTTAATTAAAAGTGGACTATTATTGGAAAAATTTGGAAGTAATAGATGAATGTTTCATCTTAGTATAGGATTGATGAATAATGTGAATCTATGAGTTTGCTTATGTGGTTCGAATCCAGGACCATTGATCTCGCAAATATGAATGCTTAGTTTCTATATGTACATTGTTGAGAAGTTTTATACTAGAACGAAATGACTGTTCAGTGCTTTTCAGGTTTTTCATGATGATCTAGCTTAAATGAATTCATGAATTCAACTACTAGATAAAGAAAGTGATGTGTTTATCTGATTTGTGTATAAGTGTAAGGTTGGTTTATAATATAAATTTTTTTTTCTATGAAATAAAAATAAAGAGAATTCAGTGAAGAAACTTCTCTTTTCATTTACTTAAGCTGTACATTCATAGTTATAGTTGTTTGGTAAATATATTTGTCTATAGAAACATAGAAAAGATTACATCATAAATTGATTCGAGCCTCTTATTATCAAATGAGGTTACACAATAATCAAGGGATAAGAGGAGAATATAGAGAGGACTGTTGTAATCAATATGTAAACGCAATACCCACAATTAGTCGATTACTCACAAAAGAGCATAAATCTTAATTATCTGATATTCGGAGAAATCAGGATTTAGTGTTGTATCGCCCAGACGACGGTGCAGGCAGTGTCCTTATGGATCATATTAATTCTCTTCGATATTATCTTATCCTGTTTAATTCTCCAAAGAAACCATTCAACAGGATGCAATTGAGAAAACGTAACAGATGTTAATTAAAATCCTAAGGAAGATGAATTTATTATTAATTGTCACCTGTATGAACATCTTAAATCATCGGGTTCCGTCATACAAAGACTACATGGACTCCCAAAAGTTCATAAGAATGTCACTTTATGTCATATATTTAATATAAATAACTTTCCATATCACCTGATTGCTAAATGGTTAGCTGATATTTTACAACCCGTTAAAAATCACATTAATCGATACAACTCTGTTGATTCCTTTGACTTTGTCGACTCAATTAAAAAGTATCAATGTACATGGTAGGAAAATGGTCTCATTGGATGTCACTTCTCTCTTTACAAATGTTCCTTTCACAGAAATTGTTTTTGTGTGACTATATTGAAAATAATGACCTTGATATTTGTATCCCGAAACATTATCTAAAAGAGCTACTTCTATAGACAAACAAATGGAGTTGCAATGGGTTCTTCATTGGGTCGCCTCTTGGTTGATTGTTTCATGGGGAATCCGGGTTGTCGTTATCCTTTGAAAAAGACATGCAGTGCGATGAGTGCAAAGGCTAGTACCACGAAGTTTGAACGAATTTAACGCCTACAGCTTTGAAAATGTTCAGTAAAAAAGGCTGCGTTTGGCTTTGTCAACAGTGCTGTTCGGATGCAAACAGCTTGTTAACCGAGGCCATCTCACTGCTAGATGCTGCAAAAAAGTGTTTTAGCAAGCGTAGTCGGGACACATCAAACAGCACTCGCTCTGTCGACACGCAAATTGATATGAAGTAAACTCAGATGAGTTCGAAAATAGGTGACTCACACCGATCAAAGAAGGAAAAACAGTCTCCAAAGAGGTCTGTCTTAAACAAAAACTCAAGAAAAGAAGGCTCTTCTGTTTCCCGTCTTCCAAATGGCATCCAGCAGGAAACGCCTAGAAGCCTCAATCGCAAGGCTCGATCGGTCTTTAGCGGAAAACATAACCTGACCTCCAAGGTCGTCGATAACCCTCAGGAATCCAACAGTAGGTTTAACGCAACTGTTGTTGCTTCTCCTAGCACCGTTGACGAATGGATACAGGTTGTAAGGAAGAAACAACGTAGCGATATAAAAGGGACTCCTGCCCCCTTAAAAGTAGTCAAAAGATCGAAAGCTGATCACAGCGACAGGTCAGTTATTTTTCATATAATCAAGGAGAGTGAGAGCTCTGAAGCAAAAGCTCGTTTTGAGCATGATATTGTGCTGATTAAGCAGCTGCTTAATCAACTCATGTCTCAAAATATCACCGGGGTCACCTTGCTAAAGGTGTATAGACTAGGGAGTCTAGTGAACTTGAAACCAAATCAATCCAGACTGCTTAAAGTAGTATTCAAATCTTTGAATGAACGTGACCTTATTTTACAGAATGGACACAAATTAAAGGGTTCAGGAGCTTTTATCCGTATGGACTTTTCATTGACAGACTGTGTAAAAAGACGGGAAGCCGAAAAAGAACTACAGGTCAGGTTAGGCGCTGACGAAAAGGACCTGAAAATTGTAAATTTTGGGGTTGTAAGACTTTGACAGAGAATGATGCCGAAGCCACTCTGGGTGAAGCACGAAGCCATTTAAGTAGGCTTCGGATCTGTTACACTAATGCCCGAAGCTTACTTAATAAGCGATCGGATCTAGGTGTACAGATTGACTCTACAAAGCCAGACATAATCGCAGTTACAGAAACCTGGATGACATAGGCTATAGATAGTATGGAACTTGATTTCGAGGATTTTACGTTAGTAAGGGCCGACAGAATACAAAAGCGTAAAGGATGGGGAGTAGCTCTATTCATTAGGAATGCTATTCCATTTGCCATTATCGACAGTGTATCGCATGAGAGTGGGATGATGTCAAGATATGGAGAACGATACGATGTGAGGGTGATAGCTTAGAACTCCAAAATGACCTGAAGAAATTCTCTGAATGGTCTCAAACATGGCAGTTGCCGATAAATACTTTCAAGTGTGTTGTGATGCACATCGGTCATCAAGGTACAGATACATACACGATGAATAACACTGAGCTACCTGCCGTCCAGACACACAATGACTTAGGAGTCATCGTTAGCCAAGACTTAAAGACTACTGCACACTCCCGTGCAATAGGCGCCAGAGGTTTTAGAACCTTATGGTCAATACGTGGGGCTTTTAGTCATGTCGACGCTAAGACGTTTTTGACTTTGTATACAGTGTTCGTACGTCCTAAACTTGAGTACTGCATACAAGCGGCTAGCCCCTACTTAAAAAAAGACAGTGAGCTTCTGGAAAAGGTTCAGAGTACGGCAACTAAGCTGATTCCCGGAATAGCGAAGCTTCCGTATGATGCTCGACTGGCCAAACTGAACCTTTTCCCGTTGTCATATCGCAGAACTAGAGGCAACTTCATTACAGTTTTCAAATTGCTTAGTGCCAAACTTGCACCTGATATGCCCTCATTTTTCTTGTCTTCCAAAACAGAGAATTTACGAGGACACTCCAAAAAAGTTCACAAGCGAAGAACAAATTACTTGTCAGCTGACTATCGACTTTTCCATCGAATCATCAACGAGTGGAATTCATTACCTCAGCACGTGGTTGAGGCTCCATCCGTCGACTCTTTCAAAAGAAAGTTGGATCAACTGAGAGACCACCATTACCAGGACTAACACAGGCCATCAAGTCTCCTGTCCTTCCCAAACTGAAACTGAATTTAGAATATACGGTACCTCGACCAATAATTGAAAGATTTCATTTACATAAGAGATACATGGATGACACTAATTATTTTTTAAGATATAGGCCTCAATGAAATTTTGAATAGTTTCAGTAATTTTCACTGCTCAATCCAGTTAGCGTTGGAGGCAGAGGCAAACGAGGGATTTCATTTTCTTGATTTCCGATTGAAAAGAAGGTCAGATGGCTTTTTACAGAGATCAATACATAGAAAACCGACCTGGAATGGTCAGTACATGAATTTACACAGCTAGGTTCCATTGAATAGGAAGTGGAACTTGATTCACTCTTTATCCTCTAGGATCAAGCGAATCTGTTCCACTGACACAACAGATTTCGAATATTTCGACTTCAACAGACTCTCATTACGAACGGTTATCCACCTAGATTCGTCGATAGCAGCTTAACACCTAAACTTCATTTTGAAAAAGCGTCGACAGTACAGAAGAAAACTTTGTTTATGAATATGGAATCTAAAGAAGACACGGATTCTGAAATCTTATATAGACGGATTTCAAAATCGTTGAATAAAACGTTCTACTCAGCTAAGCTCTGAATCGTTTTCTCAAGCTGGCCTAATATTCACGGATGTGATGAGGGTAAACTTCCGCTTTGGGCCACATCAATGTACATCTATAAATTTACTTGCTCCTGTGGGGCATGTTACATAGGCCGCACAAAGTGGTCACTTCCCAAACACATCTCAGAATACTACGTGGCATGGCTTTTGAAAGGAGAATACAAAACAATCACCAGTTCAATACAGGAGCATTTAATAAAGTGCGGACACATCACTCCAGAGGATTCCTCTTTTAAAACAATCTACAGAGTCCAAGGAATTGGATCAAAGGGGTGTCGAATCAATATTTCATGCACGTCCGAGGCATTGACAATCCACGAACTCAAGCTCGAACTTTGCGAGCAGAAACAATACTTCCAACTTCTCATCATTCCTTGGCTCTAATTCCCTTCATGGGTTTGTTTCTGGGTAATTTTTTCTTTCTTTCGACATTTTTATTTGATTATTATTGAATTTCTTCAAATTATTATTCTGCATTAGCTGGTTAAGTCACCCTGAGCAAGTTTTAGAGAATCTTA